GCCAGGTAGAGAGAAGTAGTTTTCAGAAGAGCTAAGAGTTTGCTTTTATATTTTGTTTTCCTTTTTCTCCCTCTCTTTTTGTTTTCCTGGCTGCTAAAGGCTGTTTGCCTTTGTATAGGTAAATCTTCTTATTTCAAAATACTGGCACTTTTTCTTCATTTGTTCTAGTCCTGGCTAACTTGCTATAGTTTTTCCTTCTAAATAGATTTTTAACTTTCATGTTAGCTGTTTTTAGAAGCTCCTAATTATAATAGGTCTTGCTTTCGGTTAATTGAAGAAGATACTGTTCTTCTAAGGAGCTCCCAAGCAATATTTTAAGCTATAAAAAAAAATCCCACGCTGGTTTTCAGATTATATGAATGAGTATATGTGAATGCCAAGGGATTGGTGCTCATCTCTCTTTTGCTTCTTTCTTATGGCATATCGTGAATTTTTTTATCAGGTGCTTTGTGGCTGTGGTATTGATTAGGGGCTAGGGTGAATACTCCTGCGGGTACTTTTGGATAAAGAGTTGCCTACAGATACATGGAAATGGCCTCAATATGACTTTCAGTTCTGTTCTAATCTACTCCCTTGATCGCATTACTATTGGTACATACAGGGCACATCTACACGAGATGCTTTACTGCACAGTAGCATAGTTCACTACACAGTAAGCTTGTGTATGTACACGTGCACATGCTTACTGCACAATAAACCTTGCTAATCACAAGTAAATTTGATACCTGCAAGGGCAAGTAGCTAATTTACTTTTGATTAGTAACGGTGCAGTTGTGCTCATGTTCGCACCTGACTGGGAGCAAATCTTCTCCCAGTCAGCCAGCCTCCTGGGGGCAGGAGATTGCTCCCTGCCCCTGGGCCCAGCCTGCTGCTAGGGTGGGCTTTGCTATCAGAGCCCGGGCAGGGACTTTCAGAACTAAGCTCCCCAGCCTGTACCCCACCCAGCTCCACGCTCATGGAGCTGTGCGGGGAACAAGTTCCCCAGCCTCCACCCTGTAACCATGGAGCAGGGGCTGGGAACTATGCTGGTCAGGTACATGTCCCAGCCTCATGCCCCAACTGGGAAATCTAGGCATGGGGCTGGGGTAGGTCCCAGCCCCATCTCCCAACCCCCATTTGCCAGTGCTAGCTGCCCCACCCATGCATTGGGGCAGGGGGCTGGGACCTACCCCACCCCTGCAGCTCTTTCTAAGTCCCCTGCCCCTGATCAGGGAGCTGAAGCCAGGAGCTCCCTGCTGCCAGGGCAGGGGGACACGCACCATCCCTGTCCCACCAGCAGGCAGCCCCTGGGAGCAGGGTTTAATATCCTAGCCCCGGCCAGTTCCTGGCCTGGTTCTCCCTGCCAGCCCCTGAGCTAGCACCCTGCTGGTGGCAGAGGCCCATTGCAGAGCCTCAGGAAACAGGAGCAATTTGCTGCCATTAGCAGCAAATCTGCTCCTGCTTCTCTGCACATGTAGCTGCCTGCCCAGGAGCATTTACTTGTGAGTAAACTGATCCCAGACTAAATGCATGTGTATACGCACCCACAGAAATGGAGAAACTGTGAAATACTGATTCAGTTCCAGATGGCTAACTTTATGAGAGTAGAATCCCATGCTTCAAGGTTTTACAAGTTTTTGCCAGAGGTTAGGATACCTTTCAATAAACTAGCTGGCCTCAGTGATGACTCTTCCTGGTTCTATTCTGCAACTCCCAGGCCCAAATCTTTTTTTGAAAATTCCTTTGCAAGGGTCTGAGTAAGGAATGATTGTTTATCTTCTCTTCCATTATTCTTTATTCAATCTTTTCTTCCTTCAATGTGTTGAAGAAATGGAGTCAAGAAAAGTCTATGGAAATACTGCTTTCTTCCTCTTGGTCTTGCTACAAGTGTTTGTTTAAATCTCTGACCTGTAACCAGGAGCGATCTCTGGAAACTCCCCAGGACTTCAGGTTTTCTCTTCCTGTGGTGCTCTTCAGTCAACCTCCACATATCAGGGTCACTTCATGGGGTAAAGTTTGTGTATTGTGGTATTAGAACACCTGGTGAAGAGCAAAAAGATGTTTAGAACTAGGACGTGTTCTCATAACTGGAAGACCTTAATCATATGATATAATGCAAGAAGTATTATTGCTCTATCTTCAGTTTTTGCTTTCTAAGAACACAGTGTTTGATCTTTCACTAAATTTCACCTGAAAAGTAAGTACAGAGTTTCACAAAGATAACTTGTTCCCTTCACTTCTCTCCAAATTCCATTTTATCCCAGGATTACAACAACAAACTTCACAACACTTTTGAACACTTGCCAGATGTGAGATGTGTTCTATTTTTATCTCTTTTTCACAAGAGTTTAAGATAGCCTCACACAAAGGCAAAGCTGCCACAAAGGCCAGCATTGCCACGTGAGCCAGAGGATGCATTTCAGAAGCACTTGATTGGTCCATACAGCTGAAGTGTGGAATGTAGCAATTGACTTATCCCCTCATGAGATTAGAAGATATTACTAACTAGACCTCACGTCATTGTAGGGTGCTCTTGTCAGTCTCTTTCAAAATATTTCAAATGGCAAAATCCTGTAAAACCTCCTTTGCAGGATATTACTTACTACATGGCAATGTGGAAAGTACAACACAGAAAATAATTATTGATCCACTTGCAGTAGACTTCTCCTCTCATATTTTAGTTTCCCCTTTGCAGAAAGATGTACTTTCCGTCTGCCTTAATCCTCTTCTAATTGCATGAGTTAGACTATTGGCAAGCTGAGACTACCATTTTTCTGATGAACTACATTTTATTACTTCATCTTTCACTCCACTGCCACTTTACATGTTCGTTTTGCCAGACCATTGCATCCTGTCTGTTGGTCCTATAAATTAGCACAATAAGCTCCTGTTCTTTGCTAGGGGGCTCCTTGGCAATGCCAAAAAAACAAATAATGAATAAGAATAGTAATATGACATAGCTTTTTCTAAAAGATTTTATGTAGAGCAGTGAGTTTCAACCTGTTTAAACTCAAAGCACTCCACCATAATTCTGAATTTAGTGCCTTCCCCCACCATTTCAGAACGTTATACAAAATAAGTAGTGACGTGTTTATGAATGGGCATTTTTCTTTCTGAAATCCCTTTTCCTTAGATTAGATCTCTTTTAAAAAATCTTTTAGATATTTTTTAAATTAAGAAAATGAAAACAATTTGCACTTGTCCTCATTGAACCTCATGAGATTTCTTTTGGTCTAATCCTCCAATTTTTCTAGGTCTCTCTGAATCCAGCATATCTACTATTCCCCCCAGCTTGCTGTCATTTGCAAACTTGCTGTGAGTGCACTCTATACCATCTTCCAGATCATTGATGAAGATATTGAATAGATTACAGTCTTTACTTCCTTTCAGAGGGGTGTGGTGAAAAGGAATGTCCAGCCAGGGACAAGTGTGAGCCTTTGCTTATCTGCTTAGTTTTTCTACTTATCTCCTAACACCTTATGGTACCTTTCAAAAGAACTGGTGGCTCCCCATCCCCCAGTTGAGAATAACTGGATTACATGGTGGGAGCCATGATTTGCAGCACATTTGTGAGGTACTGTAACTTCCTTTCTTTACCAACAGAGCAGTTGCTACCCTCTGTTTGGCACCAGCAGTCTCACACCAACAATTCAGGAACAGAGACACTTGCTGCAAGTCCCCAAGCAAAGCCTCTTTTCCTGCAGGTTGGATGCAGGAGCTGGCCCCTGGAGACTGCTTGGGAAGCTGGGGTCAATCGGTGCACACTTGGTCTGAGGGGAGAGAGGCAGAGAATAGATTGTGGGAGCTGTCCAGCACCCCAGTGAGGATGCAGCCCTAAGCACTGGCTTCTCACCTGCTCCCAGCCCTACCTTGTAGTCTTGGGCCTCTGTGCCTGCCTCCTACTCACTCTGGGGCTCCTGCTTCTCCCTACACTGCTTGCAAGTAACTGCAACTCATTCCCTACAAAACATGTCCTCCCCAGACTGCTCCATGGTCAGCTAGCTTCTCCCTACTGTGAGCAGTGTCACAAGACCCTAGTGCAAGAAAGTGACAGGTCATTTCAAGCCACTTCCAGGAGGATGCACACATCCTGCACTACCCTTAAAAGCATGTTGCAGCATCCCAGAGTGCCACAGTACCCTGGTTCAGTATCACTGCTATAGAGGGAAAGGAGAAACCTGTTAAGGGATGCTGTGGCTGAATTTTACAAATATATTGCCACCTTGCTTCCTCGTAGAGGGAAGTTATTAGCACTAGTATCCTTAATGTTTCTGTGGCAGGGTGGGTATTGTAGAATGAGAGCAGAGGACAGATACTAAAGAAAATTATTAAAAAGCACCGTCCAAAAACCACCATTCGTAGCTCAAATAAAAAATTCAACAATATGCAGACCACAGTGTAAGTGAATAAAGTAAAGGCACCTGGAGAGGTAACTGAATTCCCTGTGGAACAGAGAACCTTTAGCCTTGGAGAGACCTCCACCTTGCTGCAGCTAAATTGTATACGTTTCTTGAGCCTGGTTCCTAGTGGGTAATAGTCACAGTTAAAAAAAACATCTTGCTGGCTAGTTTTTACCAACATTGCATTTTTGTTTTACGCTGGTGACATTTTTCTATTCTCTCTCATCTTAGCAATACCCAAGTTCTCATATTTTAGAAGTGTTTTCTACAAAAGCCTTAAAATGCATTGTCATGCAATGATGAGATACAGACATTCATGAACCTGCAGGCACTTTCAATATGTGTGGGTCCTAAGGAGAACTCAGAACATAATTATCTTCATTTAGTATTAATTTATTTTTATTTCTTCATGAATGTTATATTTTCAAAAACAAATTCATCTTGCTTCTGCATGTTGAGCTATAATAGGTTCCATTACAGAAACTTTTGATCATAGAAGAACAGTCTAGTATCTTAGCAGGCAGAATCTACCCGACCCAGGACAAAGGAGACATGTGATCTCCTGAGTATCTAGCATAATGGCTTATTACTTCTCTATCTATACTGGGAATACTGTTCTCAATATTTGTCGAGGCATTATGTTTAGCTTTTTAAGCCATATCATGTTTGTGACTCATAGTTATCCTTGGACTCACTACTCCAACAAGGTTTTTTCCTTCTGCATCTTTTCCAACTGGTGAGCTCCCAGCATATAGTGTAAATTATTGTTAATCCGTAAGGGCATGACTTTGTACTATTACATCTCTCTCAATTTATATAGCTCCAGGGTCATTTAGTTCCTCCTGCATGATACTTCAGTAGTCTTATTTATTAACGATGCCTCTTCCTCTGTCTTTTCAGCAAATTTCATTAGCACACTTCAGTTTTTTGCACCAGGGTCATTAATGGAAATATTTTATAAAATCAGTTCCAGAATCAATCCTTGTGGAAATCCACTATCTTCCTTTAATCCAAAAATTCCTTTTCTGGCACAATCCCGTTATCTCTCCTTTAGCGATTGCCTTACCCATTTACAATTCTTTCACAAATCCTCATCCTGAATTTTTGTTGTCTTAAAAAAAAAGGGTTATCAAAGATTGCCATTAGCCATCCTGCTTTTGCTCATTATCCTTAACATCTTTCTTGAAAACTTAACTAAAAATATTCATTCTGTTTCTGGACATTACTTAGACCCACTTCACTTCTTTCCTTGTTCTCTTTTTGGTTAGATGACTAACGGTTCTCTTACTCTTTATTTTTAATTTCCATTGCAAGGTCTAACTCAGCTTGATTTTTGGCAAGTCTCACATTATCCCAAAATCAAAACTAACCATTTATAGTTAAGTGACTTATCTACTTTATTATAGAACAAGATAATATAGATGACATTCATAAACTCCCAAGGCTATAGTAGTCACTAATTTCCTTTAAAATAAATGCTGACTCTTACCCATATGTACTCCCTACCCCAAATGTATGTCTAGACATCTCTGTCTTCTTTGTGGAGCGTCTGGGACACCTGAAAGGAAATTTGGGGGTTTCAACATGGTTCTAAATACTCTTAGAAAATGTCTTTCAGATTAACTCTGGGAACTGTTTTGCAGTCCATGATATACCAGAACCCATTTATATTATAAAATCAAAATGACTAGTAAGCACTGCCATAATCAGAAACCTGAGGTGTTGGAAAGGGCTACTAGATTGATTGTGCAGAATGTTAGCAATGAATTTAAGGTTAGCTGTTTAATTTCTGAATACATTTTTTCATTCAGTTAAATACACCTTTTAGGCAGGGATTTTCTTAGTCCTCCAGTCCCTATCAGGTTTTCTTCCATCCTAATGACAAAAGCCCACCATTTTGTTCATTCACTTAAGATTTGGATGGCATTGCTCCAGCTCTTTGTATTCTGAGCCAGCCGTGAGTGTTTGACATTATCTGCTTGAAGTGCTTTGACTGCATTTAAGGACATTCTTATTTAGTTTTGCCACTTTCTGTTAAATAGAATATCGATCCAAAGCTTGTTCTCTTCTGTAGTTCTGTGTAGATGACAAGAAAATGGAAAATGAACTGCAGAACTACAGGGAATTGTCTTATTTTGAACACTAGTTGTCAATCTAACAGTTTTGTATGACTGTCCCTTGAAGGCATTTTGTAAGAAAATAGTATTTAAATTCCTCTGCATTGTGTGCCTACAATATTGACCAAAACCAAACAAACCATGACACAGCCCTGATGCCTTTGTCAGCTATGGGTTTATATGACTATGTTTCCAAAAATGTCAAGGTAATACAGGTGTAATGACATATTTAGCTGATTAATATCAATTCAATTAAAGAGCTAAAGAGCGATGTTTATAACACTGAAAAAGTATCCCTTTAACATCTGAACTTCTTTCTTTTTGTTATAATGCTGGGTTGTTGTAGTTAAATCAGATACATACAACTTACATTTTGCTTGTCTATTTAATTCATTTTTGAAATGGCTAAATGAAAATTACCCCCTCAGATTAGACATTCTTGGAGAGTTACTTGAACAGGTTGGAGTCACATTTTTGCACATGAATTTGCCTTTTTTCGAATTTAAGTGGGGAGGGAAGATGTTATTTAGCTGTTTCTGAACCTTTACCTGGCATTGAAAAGTATGCTTTCTCAAGAGTTTCTCTGTTTCAGACATAGTTATGACTCAAAACTTTAATAAAATTATTAGGAAATATCTTCTAGACTATTTTCTTACACATTTTTTTTCAATTTTTTTCCCCTTCTGGGGAAATCTTTCCTTAATTTTCTTGTGTATATCTGAGACAGTCACTGTTTGTTTGTTTGAGAAACATCCTTTAACTGTGATACCTACTTGTTCCCGTTTATGGTTTAGTAATCTCAGTTCAGTGTATCAAAATGAAAAGAGAAATTGCTTAGAATGGTAGAAGGGGATTTGACAAAGACCAGTGGGATGAATGCAAGGGTAGAAAATTTGGAAAAGATTTCCAATATTGCAGTTTAATTATAGCATGTAATATAGGTACCTTCTAGGAATGGTCTGATAAGCCTAAGGAAGGCTTGAAGGTAAAAAGGAACTTTACAGAACATAACAGCCAAAGTAAATGATGAAGGTTGTCAGATCCTTGAATTTTGGTGATATTACTACTTGTCAGTAATCTTTCCTAGCATCAGGTTTAGTGAAAACTTTTAATCCCTATATGGCATGGAAAATACAAGTGGCAAGTATATGTGATATACTCTAACCAAAGTTTTATTTATTTCTCTTAGGCTTATAAATCTGATCTCTTCAAGTCTCCTTTTTTTGGCACTATCAGCATACATTTGCTTTTCCCTCATGCACTTCCTCAGAAGTTCTGACTTCTCGCACCTTACCCAATTTCTAATTCACCACTTCTGTAAGGGCATAGCAAGCGTGTTACATGCTTCAGGCTATTCTTGTGTCTTTGCCACACAGCCCATATCTAAACTGCAAATTTGCTGTGCCTGCCGTCAGTGCCCACAGGCACACTACGTTGTTCCGTGCAGATAATCTCCTAAACTGTAACATTGTAACCACTTCTGAACCATACCAAGAACAGCACCACTAATTAGCCCATCTTTGACACCCTGTTGAGGCAACTGCACTCTCAGGTGTAGGAGGTAGCCTGGGTGGAACAGTGCAGCCTGTTTAAGGATGCCACTGCCAAGCACAGAAACCCTGCAGTCTAGATATGGCCATACCATAACTTTGTGACATCATCTGTTAATTTACCTCAGGCCTTTGAGTAAAGAATAATTCCTGGACAAGTTTGTTGAACAGGTTTCTGGAATTCACCATTTAGTTCATCCCATCTCCATTCCAGAATATTTATAAATCACAACTGGTTTTCCAGGTTAATTAAGGGTCACTGAACACTTCAGTGGTATGTGGTATCATACACCTTATAGGCTAAATTCCTTGGTCCACGGAGAGTTGTAAAAAAGACTTTTAAAAGACCAGAGAGCTAACAGAGAATCTCATTTGCATAGAGAAACTTGCTGATAGCAGACAGCTGGCAAAGCCACCTATGCCTCAGGAGGCTTTAGAAGCAGGGCCTGGGTAGGGTGGGAGCATGTTGGAGTGCATTTTTTCCCATGAACCTTTCATCTTTGATGGAATTTAGATCGTCTCCTGTTGCTGGACTTCTACCAGGGACTGGTGTCATAGGCTAAGTACAGACAGTCAAAAAGCCTAAGGCTCAATCAATTCAGTCTTCACAGGTTAGTCTAAGCTGCGTAGATTGAGCTGATAAGCAAGTGAACAATTACTTTTGACTCTGGAAATGCAGTCACATGCCTGAAGTGGCCCAGGCCAGAAGTCAGGGGGCTCTAGAGTACACTTCCCTGCTCAGCTGGATCAAACAGCTTGGGCCAAGGCTAACTTGCCCACCCTGTGAAGGCGGGGGTTTGCAAGGGAGGTGCAAAGCATCCTGGGATGCTAGGAGACTGTGAGTTAACTTGAATCTGGAGGGGATCTGGGACAGAAATTCAGTAAACTGATTTAACCTAAATCAGGTAAATCTGATACCACATCCATCTACATTTATCTTAAACTGGTTTCAGCCATGTTGAAAGCAGTTTATGTGCACTGAACTTCTATTGTGTTACAGATTTGAACCAGCTTCTGAACCTTATACCGGTTTATTTGTAACTTCTGTCCCTAGCCATAAAGTCCAGGAGCCACAACTTGCTTCTGTGGTCAGCACTGTTCATTATGTCCTCACTGAGCCAGGAAATATTGAAGCATCAGGACCTAAACAAGCTATTCTGAGCTCTGAGATGTCTTGTACAATGAATTATTGTTTCTCTGACCATAGGTAAATACTGTTTTATACAGGGTGATGTGTGGTCTTTTATGTACACACATACACACAAAATTCAAATTGACCAAAATCACAAGATATTGCTAGTTCACTCAATGTATCGTATGCAAATGATTCAGTGCAGTGGGTTCATCAGTTATTTACATTCTTCCTTTGAATTTGCACTATTCAAATATGATATTTTAGTGTTGACTAAAATATTAGCTAAGGGTGCTTTTTGACTCTTGAAACATATTTTCATTATCTGTAAATATAAGGAAATCCTTTGTATATAATACAGTTGCTCACTTCAATGTATCCACATCATACAGTCCTCTGGCAATCTCACAGAAAGAGAAAGAGGTTGCCCACATTTTGCATACTGATCTGGGTAAAATCTGGCTAAATGCCCCTTGTGGTGGTGTTCACCAAACTGCAATAAGGAGATCCAGCCCCTGACCTCCCAATATTTTTAAGTTTCTGGGGTATGAACAGCCCAGGCACTGCCTCCTTGTCTCTAGACTTGCCCTCCATTTAGCAATCTCTCCTAAGTCCCAGAACTCAGTCCAGTTTCAAATTTCACCCAGAGCTTAAAACAACCACTTTCCCAGCATTCTGATCTTCAGGCAGCAGATCGTATGTGAGCAGATATGCACTTCCCAGAGTTTCTAAACATACCATCTTTTTTATTTACAGAATAAAATACACAAGGAGTTATAGCAGCAGTTCCTGATCTTTTTTCCAGCCTCAATCCCACCTACTAGGCCTGTGCGAAACAGCACCATTCCACTTTGACTTCCGTTTCAACATTTCAATGAAACAGTGTTTTGTTTTGAGTTTTGTTTCATTTCAAAAGCACTGTTCCATTTCGCTTCATCAAAACTGTTTTGCTGTTTTGACGTTTCGCCCATAAGCTATAATGGGGAAGCACAAAACTGCCTATAACTTTATCATTTCTTGCCTGATTCTTGATGAAACTTGCAGGGATGGTAGCCCCTTCTGAGGGCATGAAACTTGCCAAGTTTCAAGGAGGAAGGTGCAGAGGTTTCCAGGAAATCGCACCTCAAGATGTTGACAAGAAAAAGTCCTGTCACTTACCAGAAGTGGCAGCCTCCTGTGATCCTGCAGGAAGATCTGGGGGCCCAGACCCCCAGGAAGGCTGTGGGCTGTGCTGGACTCTTCGTGGGAGTGTGGGCCCCTGATCTGCCTGCCAGATCACAGGAGGCTCCTGCTGCTGCCTGGGATGAGCACTGGGCACAGCCCGCAACCAGCACCAAAAAGGCCAGGGTCCCACACCCACGGGAGGAGTCCAGCACAGCCTGCAGCCATTCGATCTGCCTGCTGCATGAAAGAAGGCTACTGCTGGTGGCTGGGACTGGCACTGGGTACAGCCTGTGCTGAACACCAGGAAGACTGGTGCTACTGCTGGCCCCAGCCAGCAGTGACAACATGCTGTCATCTTCACAGATCCAGGGGCCCGCACCTGTGGGAGGGCTAGGGGTTGTGCCAGAATCCTCCTGTGGGGCGCAGCCCCCAGATCTGCACCGGATGACAGGAGACTGTTGCTGCCGGCTGGAACCGGTGTTGAAGCTAGGTAAGCCCAGCTTTGAAACATGAACTGTTTCAAAACTTTCAAAACATTTTAAGTGCCCTTGTTTCATTTTGAAGCTGTTTTGAAGGCTTTTGTTTTGTTTTGTTTTGATTTCTCTGTTTCGAGCTCAACATGCATCAAAACAGCTTTGAAATGAAACACCCAGTGAAATTTCGTACAGCCCTATCACCTACGGTGTAATAATTTTGTATAATCCCATACGCATACTGCTGTTTGTGTACCTACAGTTAACATCTGCTCCACACTAGCGACCTGTGCATGCTCTTACTCTGTGGTAAAATTAAAATCTGGACAGGCAACCCCTAAACAAAATAGAGCTTATCTTTTACTTACCACAGAACAGGAGCAGAGACCTATAGACATACATTCACCTATATGCATGCCCAACACCTGCTCCAACACATTCTAATTAGAACGCGTCAGAGTAAACTCAGTTAATCGAGTCTGCTGGAGTGTGCTAATTGGCACTCTCCAGTAGCCTCAGCATCATGGGTAGTCAATGTCCCTGTGCTTCAAAATGGTGGCGAGGGCGCTTTAACTAAATTTCATTAAATATGTAAAAATTTCCACATTACCAAGGAGTAGTTGATACAAGTAACACCTCTTTCCCCTTTTAACTGTGAGCATATGAATTGTTTATGTGCCTCCAGTTACTGTGTAGTAAGTGCAAGTGAAACTGAAGCAATTCAACCCTGTCTCATTTAGAAGAAATCTGCCCGAGTTTTCATCTCCCCGCAGGGCAAGTGAGAGTCAGTGGACAGTTTCTCTGAAGCAGGTGACATATGGTACATCTCCATCTCCTGGTAATTCAGGCATATAACCCATGACCTCCATCAATGGGAGTGAGGACTTACTAGAACAACCATGTAGGGTTGGCAAGCTGGTCAATGGAGTGGTCAAATATTGACAATTTTACTAAAAAATTACATTTTTTATCATTTTCTTGACAGAAATATGGGGTTTTTTTATTGTTTTTGACACGTTACTTGATGGAAAAATTGTGCTTTTTCTGTTTATTATTTGGACCCACTGGTAATTGTTTACAATTTTTTACCAATATTTGACTGGTCAATTGACCAGATTTTATTTGATCTGTCAAATACCCAACCCTACAACCATAAGTGTCCGTGTGTCCATAATTAATAACCTGATCTGTAGTACTTTTCATTTTCCTGCTCTTACACGATCATGAGAGCTACACAAAGATTGTTTATCCCTGAGTCTAAGACCACTAAATTGCTTTGGTTCAGCTTTCACTTATCACAAGGTAACTGCAGGAACAGGAACAGTTCAGCAGAGCAGCTGAGGCACAATAAAGCTGTACCTCCCAGTAATTGCAGACACACAGAGAATTACAGCCTTGATGGAATTAGCAGCTTCATGGAACTTACGATTCCACTATTCTATTTGTTGTGACCCCACTTTCGTGAGACCCCATGTTTGGGAACTGCTGGATTATAGGCCATTAGAAAACAACAGATCCACCAAATGTAATGCTCTTCAGTCTAGCTCATGCCCCCATGGGTCTGTCTGTATTTAGGAAGGCATGGTTTCCTTTTGTCTCACTGAGCAGCTCTCCCTTAACTTGAGCTTCTGAAATGCCTTACAGTAGGGGTTTTCAACCGGGGCTACGCATACCCCTGGGGGTACTTTGGAAGGCCCCAGGGGGTACGCAGCAGTGGCAAAGAGAAGCCTCTGGCACTTCCAGGTTTGTGCCAAGATCCCCCCCCACCCCACCTCTCGTCAACTGGCTGCTGTCTCCCGCCCCCTGCTCATTGATCGGCTGCTGGAGGACTCCCTGCCTCTCAACCAGCTGCCAGGGGCACCCCGACCAAAAAAAGGTTGTAAACCCCTGTCTTACAGGAAACAAATACCTCAGCTCCTGCCAATTTATAATGTTCTTATCCCTTCAACAATTGATTCCTTGATTATCCCGCAATATGTAAGGACAGATTACTGGCAAGTGACAAAATTGTCAAGGCAAACTTTACTCTGACAACCCATTTCTCTTTGATTAATGCTAGCTTCTTGTCTCAAATGTTTGTATCCAAAGAGAGGACTGTTCTTTTTAACAGCTTTCTGTTGGTAGGTCTGTGCTACTATCATATAGCATATCAGACCAATAGACAAGAAAAAAATGACGATACTCTCTATACCCAAATTGAGACAAAAGGAGCTCACGTTGTCAGATAGGGCCTTGGAATAAAGATTGAGCATGCCTGCCTCTTTTTAAAAGAATCACTTTATTGGAAAGCTAACAAGTTTAAGTAGTATTCAGACGAGACAATGTAAATACAAAAGCATACTTACATTTGGATGTAGGCTGGACGCTGGGATCTCTGAGCTCTTGTTCGTTGTTGAGTTCCCCCAACAACACAGGTCCATTATTCCCCAAATTCCCCAGGTTTACAACCACAGATGCACAGTCATTGTATACATTTAGTCACACTTTGATGAGATGTATTCAAATTTCTTTGTTTTGCTGAAACTTTTGGAACTGGACTGAACCAGTTTTCTTGTGGATGTGGATTTATGTTCTTGTGAATGTTACACTTCTGGAAGGACTGATTCCTTATCACCTTCCTTCACCAAGGTGGAATGTTAAGTGCCACGAGTTTGTTTTGGTTAAATTATTTATGGTTGTCATTGGCAGGGCTGCTCTGTTTTTTTTACAACCTATCTAGGACACCTAACACAAATACATCTATTAAAACTACATCTAATACATTTGGTTACATCCATTATTTCTATTAACATGTATAATCTGTGATATAGTTGTAAATTTGTATCATCTAATTTAAGGCCTTGTGCTCTGTTTAATCTGATCTGATTCAGCTGGGCATGTTAATTGCTTTCTTTTCTTTGCTGACCAAGCTAATTGCCTGCAAAGGTTCACATTGCATTCACTCAGAAACAGGCTTTTGGGGCCTTCTGCTTTTAGCCCCACTTCTGCAACTTAGTCCAGAATTTCTGTTATTTAATTACACATTTATAGCAACAACATAATGGAAGATATGTACAAGGTGGAGACACATATGGCAAAGCCCCTAATGTGTTCCTTACAAAGGGCCGCACATTCAAAATGGAATTTGGACATTGTAAAGAAACACACAGAAAGTTCATGTGACAAAGCACAAAATTTGAGGGGCTAAAATTCAGGATATAGTCCCAGGGTCTAGACAAAAATACACTTGCAGCTGCTTCAGAAAGTGAGGGGAAACTACAGAGTACTTTAGCATCTCAGTGGTACTCTGGTGCCAAAAAACATTTTGGAGTGTCCACATTCAGGAAAAAAACAGTCATTTAAGGAGATACCTTGGCACAGACCTAGCAGAAAAGTATAGTTGGTCACTTTACATAACCTCAGACAATTCATACTTTGTATAGAGAAATTCCCCTAAAGTCATCACAACTGCCCGCAGATGAGCAGCACTGAACTTGAAAGACTTGGTTAATGATGTTATGGTTTGCTAACGTTCTCAAATATCCTCACCATACTGCTCTCTTATTGCCAAATTGCTGTGTCCTCAAAGAAGCAGAGAGTCTGAGGTTCAGTAAAGCATGATTATCTAACTGTTACTGTCAGCAACATAATGAATGAGAATAGATCCCTAAACTGCACAGCTGAGATTCTCAGTTACCTGGGGTTTTGGATGCCCAGTTACTTTTAATTATAATCATAAGTAGGTGTCCAAATAACACTGGGGGCTTTGAAAATCTTGGCCTATATATGTCCATGCATATATCTAAACTATACAGTGAAGTATCATTTAGAGATAGCACTCAAGCTAGTTCATTTAGATCTACAGGGTAGATTTGCATCTTATCAGCTAACCAAACTATCATAGAATCATTGAAAAATAGGCCTTGAAGGGATCTTCAGATGTCATCTAGTCCCACCCCTGCCTGAGACAGGATCATGGCTATCCAAACCATTCTATTAGCAAAAGAGTAACCTCTTGTCTAACCTCACTTCATCAGATGCTTCAGCCCATTAAAGCATGTGCTAATACAAATCTACCCTGCCTTCTACTTGACTTCAGACTAACATGGCTAACAATGCCTCTGCTCATTTATATCTAGTCTTTTATCTCGGTCTTGCACTTTGCTGGGCTTATCTACACGTGAATTTGATCCAGAACCAGTTTACTCACAAGTAAACTTCTGTGGCTTAAACACTCCCAGGCAGGCATCTATACCTGCAGGGACTAGGCAGCAGATTTGCTGCTTTTAGTACCAAACTTCCTGCAGCCTTGCAATGGTTCCCTGCAGCCACCAGGAAGAGCTCAAGGCTCCAGCTGCAACTGTTAGCACTTGGCAGCCATCTTCAAAAGGCAGTCCTGTTCTCTGACCAGCCACTTTCCTGGCCAGGAGCAGCATGCCCACCACAGGGATATCACGCAGAAGCTCTCTCCTTGCCCACTCTGCCTCCACACGCTATGGCTGCTCCAACCTGTGTCCCTGGCAGTGATGACCAGCATACTAGGCTTCTTATGGCTGCTGCACTGGCCCTGCTGGCCCACCACACTGACCACCCCCTGGCCATCTGGGCCCTCATAGCTCCCCTACATGCAGACCACCTGCTTGGCTGCAGCACACTATCTCAGTGCTGCCACCTCCATTGCACAGCTGCCACTGGCAGGGATGCCAAAAATGGGCTTCTGGATGCCACCACTGGATCCACCGTCACCTTCCTGGGCCTACAACCCCACCACCTCTGGGCTTCCTGAGCCATCCAGGCCTGGTGACTGCACATCATCCAGCACACCTGGGACAATGAGCAGTGGCTGAAGGTGTTCCCCATGACCTGGGTCTGCTTCTGGAGCCTCCTCAAGCAGCTCTGGCCCCATCTGGAGTGGCAGGATACCACCATGTGCCCATCCCTCCCTGCAGACACCTGGCTCGCCCTCATTCTGCTCAAGCTGGCCATGCCCACTAACCCCTTCTATGTTGGCCACCAGGTAGGCCATCCTGGAGGTGTACGGTGCCCTCCAGGATGTGCTGAGGCCACCATGCTTTCCTGCCAAGTGTGGCCTCTCCCCTGTGTGCAGCTGCAGGACCTGCAGAGCCATAAGAAAGAAGCTGTTTGTGAGAGTTTGCAATATTTCTCAGATAAGATGGTCTGTACTAGGGGCCATGCACTGCATGGCCTCAGATAGGGGGACTGGGCATTCACGGGTGCCCAGGGATCATGGTAAATTGGCCAGGTAGCCCCAGGCTTAGGCAGCCATCAGCCAAACACCCCATCCCCACTTACTCCCAGCGCAGGACAGGCTAGGCTCCTAGCAGCACCTGGTACCACAGCTCCAGACCCTTCTCCCCCCAGTCTTCTCCTGCAGGCCAACCACTTTCCTGTGCTGCCACCCAGCCCATGGCAGCCAGGCTCAGGGGGCACAGGGCTCCTGCATGACTGGAACAAGGAGCTGCCCAAGCCTTTGCCCTCCCCACAGGGGGCCTCTCCAGGGAGGTGCCCTGGGGCCACCCCCTGGTGTGCCAGCACTGCTTCCTGAGTGTGCCCCTGCTATTCATGTTGTCAGTGGTGTATGAGGAGCTGTTTGTGTGGATTGAAGGGTGCCCGACCCACTGCGCCCTGCTGTTGATTGCCATGGTGTCCTGGGTGCACCTGTACACCTGGCATGGGACCCTGAGCTTCAACAATGCAGGGAGCAAGCCTGGGCTTCCCCGCAACCTCCACCGCTGCTTGGAGGGCTACTTGTGGCTGCACTTCATGTTCCTGCCCCCCACAGCCAAGGAAGACATCGCCACCAGCATGGACATATAATTCTATGACGCATTCTTTGTCCCATAACCACAAAGCACCCTATAAGAGTTTTATTAAGTTTTATCTAAGAAACTCAGTGTAAAAAAGCAACTTCTTTGCTGCACTGTCAATGTAGACCAATATATTACATAATCTGATCTATAAAGGTTCATTCAGATTCTCTTCTCTGTTGTAAGTGTTAACAGAGGATTTATCTGCATGTAATATTTACACGATAAATTCTAGACCTGTGTGATAAATTGCATCTATCTTCTCTCATTAATTGTCCCACTTCTGCTGTGCCCATTAATTGATTTCCACATGGATAGTTTCTAATTTTCCAGACTTTTTCAAACACGCACCCTTTAAAATTAAATTTGTTACAAAAAAAATCTTCCCAACTCCATATCTGGAATTTCCCTAAAAATTACACTAGTTTGAGGTGTCTGCTGGGTAAAATTATGTTCTGAATTTTTGGCCAATATGTCCTGGCAATGAAAAAATAGTTTTATTTTCATTCTTACACTCCACCTCCTTTCCAGTAGAACACATGATACTTTATTCTAACCCAAGTAGGTTATAAAGTAGTACACCTTAACATTTCAATAGTGGGCACTTCTACATATACACTTCAATGTTCATTAGCCTATTTTAATATGCATTAAAGCATCACTCAAAATGTGGGCTGTTTAGTTAATGCGCATTAAGAGGATAATGTGCATTTTCCTAGTATCTCACAATAGAGGTACTAGATTTACTGTGCATTAACTAAAGTACGTTAGTAAATGCACATGTAGATGTGCCCACTGATCAGTTTTTAAAGAACTACTGTAGGTAAGATTTTAGAGCTTTTAAAATGTATTAGTTATTTTCTCCTCTGGAAGACTTATAGCCTTGGACTCATTAGTGAATCTTGGCTCTAGAAGCAGAATGATCTGAAAAATAATGCCACCTAATGAAAAATATATAGTATAGTTTAAAACAGCAGTCCTCAGACTTTTGGGACCAATGGAACCTTATTAACTATAAAAATTTCTCATGAAGCACCATTCATCCATATCACCAAACTTTTAATTGAAAGGAGAGGGTAGTAATGCAATCCATAGACCATGTGCCACATTATCACAGACCATTAGCTTTGCACATGTTAAAGTTTAAGTTTAAAATAACATAGATGGCATGAGCAAAATACATGGTGGTATAATACAGTGGTTTATTTTGGATGCATTTGAATTAAGCTGCATAACCCTGTCATAGCTCAATTTCTTCTGAGAAGTGTGGAAATTCCAAATTGATGCCAATAACCTTTCTACCCTATCATGCTTACAGGAATATGAGTATATGTATTTATTATTGGAAATAGTATTTTCTTTTACTGTTTATTCAGAAATTACCAACTTAGGTGCTGATCTGGTCCATAGATAAAAGCTTTTTCAGATAAAAGCTGCTGTTTTGATTTTGGAAGTGGTTAGTTATAAGTGAAGGAAAAGTTATAGCAATTAATGTAATGTGTTGAGCTTCTTTTTGAAACCTGCCCCCCCTCAATTTGCTATAATAGACTAAACTTTTTAAACCCTGCTTAATGATGAAAGGTACTTACCAGCAGTATAGGCTATTGTTTCTCATGGAGGAGGGGAATTGTGATGTGAAGTGCAGCATCAATATCTGCAAACCTTAAGTTCTTTACCTATATTTTCTGTTGTTGCTTGGGCAAGCAATGGCGATAGAAATGAGTGTCTGTTTGAATAATCTCCTATGTAATTTTGAGACACTGGCAGTCACAATCCCCCA